TTGCATTCTACAACAATTATCGAATAAGGATATTTCTTTGGAGACATTTATTTTAACATTCCAATAATAGTCATGATTTCGTTTTCGAAGAAACTTTAAGGTGTCTTGTTAATCCTATAATATGATGAGTCATAAATTTTAAATTATTTAAAAATTAAAAACATGACTGCCAAAATAGACCCAAAATTTACGAAATTGTGATATAACAATTACAGATAAATAGATAGTTACATGGTTCGCGTGTTCTTATGTTAAGAATCGTGGTAAAAAAAAACAAAGATACAATAATCAAAACAATATTATATGTATAATTACTATCCTTGAGAACAGGAAATTAGAATAAGTGATAAAAAGGAGACTCAATGTAGTAAAGAATAGGTGTTTATTCGATATTATTTTAATTATCATTACTGATGGTTAAAATTTAAGCAGTAATCATTTTCATCCATGGACTTTTTCATTTTTAGGATTTTTGTCAAACTTTGCTATCGAAGCTCAAAACATCCTCATTTTATATTCATCTTGCATTAGGAAATTGTATAGTCGTATTATTTAAAGAATTATTTTGTCCACTGATATTGGTGAACCACCACCGTAATTGATTTTATGACATCGAAATTATATTGGTGCCACGGAAATTATGTAAGAACACAGAAACTATAAAACTGTTAAATAAATAAGGAAAAACAAAACTAATAATAAGTCAAGCCTCAGATTACACGCACCGATCCACACATATTTATGTAAGAAAGGTATTAACGTCTTAGGATGTACTGATGCTGCACGTGGAATGTTGATTGTGAGATAAAATAAATGAACTAATGAAAGTCAAAGTCTCACTCATTAAACTCACCAGCTCTAACCGAAGTAACGACTTTTACAAAAACCATTACCAGGTAATATAAACAATGTAAATAAAAAGCAAATTAATAATTACAAAATATAATAAGTATAAGAAAAATTGCTTATCAAAATGTCTGGAACATCTACAGTCCAAGCATTTTTATCTACTATATAAACGGCCACTTGTTGTATATTGCAAAGAACTTTATTGTAAAAACCGCACACATAGGCTCCTGAATAAACTATTAACTTTTGAAGGCTAGTAATGATAATGTTGATTGTGAGATAAAATAAATGAACTAATGAAAGTCAAAGTCTCACTCATTAAACTCACCAGCTCTAACCGAAGTAACGACTTTTACAAAAACCATTACCAGGTAATATGAACAATGTAAATAAAAAGCAAATTAATAATTACAAAATATAATAAGTATAAGAAAAATTGCTTATCAAAATGTCTGGAACATCTACAGTCCAAGCATTTTTATCTACTATATAAACGGCCACTTGTTGTATATTGCATAGAACTTTATTGTAAAAACCGCATACATAGGCTCCTGAATAAACTATTAACTTTTGAAGGCTAGTAATGATACTGTTTTCAGACAGGATGTGGTTGGGCTCTATCCACAAGACATTGTATTGTCTTAGCAGTTTCTAGAGATAATAAGATGTATGACTGCGAATGGATGGTGACGCCGTACTTCTTACAGCAAAAACTTAAACCGGAAAAGCAGCACATAATACACAATGTGCTGCTGATTTCAATGTTCATCTATGAAAACAAGAATTGGGTATATCAGAAGTTTACATAAATATAGTCAAGATGCATTTGTTACGCAGAATTTGTGGATAAACGTTCGTAGGCTACATTGTATATACCATAAACAGAAACGCAAAGAAAAGGATAAGAAAAATAATATCGGTGAAAAATTTAACAGACTTTTAGTGTACTCAATTGATTTGGACATATGAAGAAAACAAAGAAGCTTTATAATATATTACGACAACGTGTGTTATCATAAGATGACCTCAGAAGCCTAAAAACAACAGCGAGCTTGTACATATGAAAAATAGTTATATGTATGTCACTATCAAAGAAAAAAAACCTTTATTAAAGACCATGCCTTGTAACGTTCAGTTCTGAATTTCTTTCTAGATTTGGCGCTAAAACATAGGATAGAATCTACATGAGCTTTAGCTATGTTCGGTAAGGTCTGGAAAATAATTATTTTTAAATTTTTCAACACCCTTTCAGTTTATTAAGACTAATATTTGATAGGAACAATTCCAATGAAATTCAGGCATAGACACCTCAGGCATAAATCGGGAATATGTTGTTTTTTTTTTCCAAAAATTATATAAGATATCAAAGTCATGAATATTATTTTTCTATTACCTTTTATGTATACCAAAAGCTTATAACATGCATAATAGTTATATTTTATTACTTAAAAAAAGCATTTGAAATCTGCCCACAGAGATTGCCTTAATTGACTTAATTTTTTTACGAAAAGATCAAGCAATATGGCCCACAACTATTTTCTATTCATGTTAGGGCACTACTGTTACTTACCGGACAGGGATTCATTGTCTGTATAAAGTCATGAGTAGAAAGTGGGAATGGTATAACAAAGTTACCATGGAAATTGGCACTTTCTCTCGGAAAGAACTATGTTTGACCTATATTCATTAACTACGAGACTAAAAATTCAAATTATATCATCTTCTTGTAAGTAAACTAATACTGAACACTACAAATATACTTTATTTCATATTAGTTGAATACTATCCTGAGGGCTCAATATCATGAAAGAAAGTAATTGTGGAAAGTGCATGGAAATTAGAAATTGGCTATTTACATTTTTTTTTTCTTGAAAACGAATACTCTTACTAATATAATTGAAAAGGCTTCGTTTAGATAAACGTTTCTTTTATTTTAAGGAAAAAAAGGGGTGTTATCTCTAACGCAAAACTGAGTATTACGCGTCCAAGGTCCAAGGTTTTAAATTTTACGCGTCCAAGGTTTTCACCTTGGACGCGTAAAATTTACGCCTGTAAATTCACTCATTTGTTGTTACATATTATTCTGATATAATGAAATATAAAAATCTCTAATTTTCTAGGTAGTCTATTCTGTTTCTAATATATTCTTTGTTACAGACGGGCATACAGCGTAGCACTATACTTTAATAACACTATCATTAGAATGTGTTTATGTTGTGTTCACCATAATATCTTTCGAACAAAGCAATAGTCACTGCTACTTATTAATATGCTCTTTAATTAAAGAAAAAATTTAGAAGAATAACAATCACTTTTGTTAATTTCAGTAGGTACATTAATAAATAAATTACACTAGATATTATATAGGTATATATAAAAAATACTTTGAAATATGTTTTAAGCACAATATTGCACACTGTTATATTTCATTCATTTTGCATTAACTGGAAAATACGTTTTACACATATACATATAATGATACAACCTCGAGATTGAACGGTTTCCATGGCCAAGTAGCTCGCACGCCCGTTTCAACGGACCATCTCAATTCCCGGAAATTCCGAATTCGATTCCTAATATAGAAAATTTAATTTCCTGTTCTGTTGCTTTTTTATTTCAGATACCCCATAATATAAGTCCCTTAGCTATTTATCGTGAAATCCGAGCAACAAAGCAAATCTGACAACGTGTGTGTTGTCTCACGTTTATTCTATTTATATTTTATTATTATTCACTTCAGGCTACCACAATATGTCAAAAGACAAGTTCTATTTCTAAGGCAAGGTATCACTTAATTTGCCTTTTTAAAAAGTATTTTCTAGATAAATGCCTCTAATATTTGAACTCCATCTTTAAAATATTAAAGTTTAAAATCAAGTGGAGAAATTTAACAGATTTATATATTCTGATATGCTGTTGATTTAAATTTTGTATCTATAAATCTCAGTTGGAGCTGAACTCGATAATGCACGCGGTTAGTGGTGCAATTTTGATGGGTAAGCCTAATAAAGTTTTCATGACACAGTTCTTGTTATTAGATCATAAAATAATAAATTTATCTGTCACCATTGATTTGTGAGGAAGATATTGCACTAATAATATTGGACTTTGTGTAGACAGTACAATATAAAAATACAAAATAGAAGAGTTGAAACTCTATGTTGATGCCATTTTTACATATAAATTGGCATCAGAATTGAGCCCCTGAGCAATGTGGACGTTAATTGACTTTCGGAAAAGCAAATGCTATGCGAATCCATCTAATCATAAGATGGGTGGCCAAAAAATGTCGTCTTTATCTCCTCTGGAAGGCACGCTTCTCCGTTCTTTAACTGGATTCAAATTTGTTAACCACCAACGCAACCTTTGTTATCTTTTGAAGTAGGTTTTATTTCATTGAACCTCTTTGCTGATATAGCCATGTTGTCGACGTCATGTTCGTAGGAAAAAAAGGTTTTTTACAGAAAAACATTGCTGGTCCCGCATGGGTTATGTAATGGCCCTTTATCGCTATTTGATTCTGTCCAAGAACACCTGTACCTTTGTAGTGAAAACGTTAATAGGCTTATAATGTTGATGATGATATTGTGATTTCAGATTAATACAGAAACAAGTACTTATACGAATTATTATGACACCTGAACGCCTATTCTATTTCACCGGATAAAAATTATGAAATATTTAAAAAAAATACCACCAGCATAGGTACCCATCTCAAAGTATGTGGGACTGGTGATTTTTTAAGAATATTTTTCAGTGTTTCATTGTAAATATAAAATTGACCAGATAATAATATTTAGATCTTAATCAAAATTTGAAATATTCGGAAAAATATATCTTTCTTCTATTTTTCTTTGGTTGGATTGCCTGAACATTAATGGAAATACCCACACAAGTAGCGAAAAATAACAAGTGCCTTAAAATTTGTCAGTCCTTTTGGGTCCTGGCTAGCTTTGTGGTTGGAGCAGTCGCCCGGATTGCGTAAAGTCTTACGTTCAGTTTTCATCGCAGAGTACCTGAGGCTAATGGATGTTTTATATAACGTTATAATTACTTATAAATATGTTCTTTATCTTATTCTGAAATAAAACCAATTGAAATCAATCATATTATCTATTAGAAGAGCTACCATAATTATTTATCTCTGAATTTCAATACTCTGTTGACTTCAGCACAGTCATATCGCCAAAGTCTTCAAATTCTGGATAAGTGTCCGCATAATCGACAGGGAACATTGCGGCACATTCATCCTCTCCATACGTAGAGTCACGGCTGACGTGTTCCGGCTTCAAATCCATCAGCTCTAACAACGGGAGGTCTATCTTCACAGACAGCATGTAAGCCAATCTGATTCCTTCCCTGGTAATGAGAGGCAAAAGTCAATTGCAACTACAGAGGAAAAACATGTTTGGCAAAATGAAGGTGGCAACATGCAACGACTAATTCAATATGGACCGATATTATTAAAAATATTTCGAAATTCGGTAAAGTCACTGCTTAACATGTTGTTGTTTAGACATCTAATATATGATACTAAAGAAATCAATTAAAGAACGCCATGATCCTGTAGTTGAAAAAGTCAAAGAAACTTAAATATTTTATACATATTAAGCGACATGTTACTACGATATATAGTCAATGAAGCGGCTACACCAAAAATCCCTAAGTAAGCAATAAGGGAGCCTATTGTGCTAATGTTTTTAAGTTACTCTTTATTTATCTTCGTTGTGTGTTGTACAATAAATTGTTTTTATCTTTTCTTATTAGTTTTAATTTATTTTACAATGTATTTTGATTTTATGTACGAAAATCAATAAATATTTACAATCAAGTTCATAAATAGAAATCCTAATGTGCCGTTATATTGTCATAGAGATTATTAGACATAGAAAATGTTATCTTACTCGTTTGTCATATTCAGTTGCTCATATTGACGTACACTATATGCAATATGAACTGCATCATAAGGTGTCAGCATTCTGAATATACCCATCTGCAAAAAACAATATATAATGTACAAACGGATGCTAACGGTGGTAACGTTTGATTACCACGACATGTCATGTTTCTCCGGTTGATTTTAAACTCTACCATTAAAACATAAAGTTAAATATCAACTGGAGAAAGTTGACATATTCGTATAGCTGGCTGTGAGGTTGGCTGTACATGTATTCTAGGAATTGTTCTATTTGCTACATTAATTACAAGTAATATAACAAGGTTCATATATTTAAGTGCTTCCAAAGCGTTCACTTTCATTTTAACCGAGTTACGGAAAGAAGAAGATTAACAAATAATTATTCATAACCCAATCTATATCAATAAAAAAAAACATAGCGTAGTTTGCATTATTACGACGATTAAATGATACCCATACAAAAAACCGGCCACGCACAAAGGGTTCCGCAACGGAATCTATTGAGTTAAATTTTATATCAATAGATGGCGCTTATGTGATTGCCCTCCTGTTTTTTTTGGCTGATCTATAATTTTTGTTTATAGTGCGGAATAAAGTATTTTTTATCTGAAAAAATCTTGTTTATAATTTTAGAATTGAAATCGAATAGAATCGAGCAACAAAATCACGTTTATTGTATAGAATACAAATATTCAAGGGGATTGAATATTTGTTTAATTGAAAGTTACGATAGGTAAAAATATTTCAAGCGTCAATCTGTTGTCGTTATCGATATCGTGCAAAAACAAGCAAAAATATCGCGATTATTTCTTTTTAGTATTTGTTATTGTAGCGGCAACAGATATACATCATCTGTGAAAATTTCATCTGTCTAATTTTTCATGAGATATATAACCTGGTGACAGACAGACAGAGAAGTTTTAGTAATAGGAACCCGTCTTACCCTTTTGGTACAGTACCCTAAAAATATATAAGGATCACAAAATATATCATAAAAATGACTGACTTCGGTCTTTAACAAATAAGATATAGTATCTAAAAGCGGTTCAATTATAGAAAACAACGGTGTCATAAATACGACTGCAATAAAAAGCATTTTCGAAAAAAATTTAATGTAAAGAAAGCATAATCTGACTCTGCCTCTGATGCAAGATAATGTTTACGATATTAACAAAATTATAAGAACGGTTACTAATTTTTCGAATCATCATTCGAGGACAATAGCATAGGCCCCCAAATGTCATGTTAATCCGAACGAATTCATTTATTAAATCTTACATTTACATCAAAACATTACTGTGTTTCTAAAATGCTTTTTCCTAGCCACTTCCCACTCAGTATTTATGTTTATTCTATATTTATTTATTTTATTGTATTTTATTTCAACTTACATTTGCAATACAAACATTGCTGAGTATCTAAGGTTCTTTTGTTGTTTGTTGTTGTTGAAACCGATTATCTATGAATACGAATGCGATAATAGGCTAGTAGGATTTTTTATTTTACATTATCATTAACTAGTTTTAGTAAATTAATATCTGAGAACTAATGTAGAAGTAACAGCACGTCTGCGATTAATAGTTTCGGAGAAACGGTGCTATGTTTATGGAACTGCTGCTAGTCGGCCGAAAACGCTCCCTACAAATTCAAGCCAATAAGCGGCGTCACTTAGTGCTGCGGTAGAGAAAAACATATAGGTGACTGGGCAATCTTTTTATAATATCTTTGATAATTATGTTTATAGTTGGTGTAATGTAAGTTATTATGTTTTGCGTAACTAATTTAATACCATATGTATATTATCAAATTTTTGTAATATATTTTCCTTACTTTTTTCTAGTTGTCAAAGCGTAATCATTTTTTTGTTAAACATTTATAAGTAAGAATGTTTCATATTTTGCACATCGTTATGTATGCTATATAATATTGGATTATACTTATAGTAAGTAGATCTAATTTAAAAAGCATGTCAGGAAAACTAATCTCGGACCTTTGTGAAGCATAAAATTACTTGAATATCACATACATGTATAATGGAAGATTTATGTTTCCGCATGACATCCATCGCCGTATAACGTTGTTGAATACTCAGCGCCACCAATACATGAGGAGGAAGGAACTCATCTTGTGGCGAGACGCACTCTTTCACCAACTGAAGCACCAAGCACCAGGGGTCTAACTATGAGCTCAGCAACGTTTAAGCCGTGCAGCGAAACACCGCCATTGTTCCGTATAGCGCTGTCCTGCTCGCAACGCTACTGTTAAAACCTGTTTATCTAAGCTATTTCTTGTCAAATTGAAGTAAAAAATACGTATCTAATATTTTTCTATTATCTAACTGACGGACTAAATAGTTTTTATTTTTTATTTTACCCAATTGTCATCCCAATTATGTAGAAGAACTGGCGGGCAAATACTTCACCATCATCACCAGCCCTTTTACGTCCCCACTGCAGGGGCTCAGGCCTTCCTTATGGATGGTTAAGGAGGATGGGCCATGACCCTCCACGCTGGCCCAGTGCGGATTGGAGGGTATTGACGACTGCAAATGCAGCCGGGACCAACGGCTTAACGTGCCTTCCGAAGCACGGAGTAGCTCGAGATAATAATTTTTTGGTCACCCATCCTTGCGAAAGTTGCTTAACGACTACGATCGCGGGCCGCGGCGCTTATCCACTACGCCACCGAGCTACTCCACTCCAAATACTCCAAATACCTCAATCAGGGCTTTATTCGTTATTACAGACATGTATAATTAAAAAAATATATATTTACACTATTATTTAAACTTTCAGCCTGCTCTTAGCTATCAAGAAGAATGGAAAATAGAAAATACGATCAAGTCGTAGCAACGACACTTACATAAACACATGTTATTACCAAAACCTTTTAGCAATGAGAGCGCTGATTGTACATACAATAAATCATTATTGTATATGTAAATTTTTGCAGATTACAATGAAGATCGAGTTCGATGGTATGCGCATGCAGATACCTACATCCAGCAAACGAACACAGGTTGATGATGATTCATTAATTATGTTATTAATTCATGATTGATTCGTTGAAACTACAATACTAAAAATAAACGAAGTGCCATGTTTGCTATCAGATAAGATGTCATTCAAGTGTTCAATGTATTTACTTAGACAGTACCTACTAGTAGAAACTATTTTATTATCTGCGACTGTTGATACTGTCTATTTATATTTTAAAAGCATTTGTTGCTGAAACGACAATAGAAATACATTGTATGTAAAATTTTCAACTATTTAGCAATACGACTCATAAGATACAACTTGGTGATAGAGAAATGGACAGCGGAGTCTTGGTACTATCTCGTTTTTAAAGTAAATCTTCGCTTGCGCAAAGTTGACCTATTAACTCCAAAAATTACCGGACCTATGAATATCGTGAGGTGTAAAATACAACGCATTAGGTGTCCGTCTTAATCACACACAGCAGAGCTCATGCGCGTCGATCAGTATATGACGCGCTATTTGAACGATTTTAATTGGAAGACGTTTGCGCGCTCCGAAATTGAACCTTATGCGTAGGAATATACATCTTACCATTATAATTATCTAAATTAACTTACTTTTGGAAATAATATCGCTAAACCGTTTACTTTAGCTATGTCACTTGGCGGCGCATAAAATCCTGGTATCAATAGTCCCGCTGGTGGTAAATATTCATTATCATCGTCCTCTTCACTACTCTCTCCTTCTACGTCCTCTTCCGGAAGATTCTGTTCCAAAACAACGAATTTTCTTTATCAATGAAAATTAATGCAACATTATAGCTTTCAAAATGTCGTTTCCTTGCGGAATTTACTTTTTGTTCGACTTTGAGGTCACAAGTTTCTTTTTTGTTTAATCAATATTATATTCATATTTTAATAAATTAATCCTTAAAATAATTATTTAAACTTCACGTGTATTAATATCAGTATTGAGTATAAAAATTGTACTAACTTCTGGAATAACAATGTCCACTTCTTCATCCTCGTCCGTCATTTGATCCAACGCTGCTAAATTCTAGAAAGAGATAATCATAACAACCCTATGAAAAAAGCCTAAAATTAAAAGAAATGCCAATTCCAAGAAAATATTAAGTATCTCGACCGATTTAAAAACAGAAAGGACTTCTTCAGCTACTACTGTCGTATTATTTCAGAAATAGGTTCTAAAATTAAGTAAATCTCACTCACTACAAATCGCATTCCAAGAAAACGAAATAAAAGAATTAAGGTAAAGATTCGATAGAAAGGTAAGATAATGATTATCTTCCAAATCATATAATTTTGCCACTTTAGCATAATTTAATAGTTCACACATAAAATTATTTTAACAAAGAAATTAACGAAATGTCATAGCTTCCAACATACATCATCTATTTTTAATGTTTCAGATTAACTGCTATGTTTTGTACCTATTTTATAAATGATGTAGATAGATGTCAGAATAGATGAATCACATGACATGAAGTTTGATCTGGACACTAAATTCCGTTACGTAAGATTCTAATTTTCATCAACCCTAAGTTCGTATGTAGTTTCAGTCTGGGCATTTGCACCTAGTACCCAGAGTGGATCCACACTTAAATATGACAATATTAAATGTGCAAAGTTTTCGACTAACACCAGATTTTAATAATTCCATTTTCTTTTTCTCTTTTTCCACTCTTTTGGCCTGTATAGCTTCTTCAATAGCTTGCCGCGCTAACCTTTGCATTTCACTCAAGCGTCGGGCACGTTTTTCTATTTCTTCTTCCTTATTGAATTTCAATAATTAGTCAACAAAATATCAAATATAATGTCGCCGAAGGTTAGAAGCTTATTAAACTACCCTCTGCATTGGCATTGAAACATCGTAAAGTGATACATATCCTTATGACCTTAATCATAAAAATTCACTAGCCGGTAGGTACCATTTTGTTCATGATATTAGATTTCTTGTATTTTACTGGAGTAATATTTGTTACACTTATTTACAAATTTTAGGAAATTAGTTTAGATTAATTACTTTACGCCGAATTTTCTCTTTCTGTCTCTCCTGTAAAACCTGTTCTCTAGTAGGACTGAATGACTTGTACAGATCGAAAGCAGTCTTCCGTGGAGGTTGCTCACTCAGGAGTTTGTCTTCGTCAATTGTTGGTACTTGATCGTATAATATAGATCGCACCAATGCTGTAAAATATTTTGAATAAAACATTTCATTTTTAGTTGTCATAGAAATTATTTCGGACATAATTATGCATCTCTGATAACATTTTGTAAAACTTTCCACTTGATATTTAGTTCCTATTTGGACTCTTTTGAATCAAAATTTCTTGGATAAACTAGAATTCTATATATTTTCTCTTAGCACTTCTAAAGTTTATTATGGGATCGACGTACTGTTAGGTAAAGTCAAAGGCTGATATTAAATATCACCTTTATTCAAATAGACTTATCAAAAGAACTTTTGAATCGTCCAACGTTTTTTCCCTACCACTCGTTCAAGACGACTGTTGGCTTATAAGAAGAACGGACAAGAAACTCATTCTGTTTTTTTAAGATTTACCCTGAAGTTGCCTATGTGAAGAAGAACAATTTATTGCCATAATAGAATATAACTATTTTCTAAAATGGCCTCAAGCAGCCATTAACAGTTACTTCAACTATTTGCTTATACTATTTAGGTACAAAATTCTTATACGAACGCTAACTATCATATCATTATTTTGATAATGCAAGGAAATTGCTCCTTATGCCTTTGATCGGGGCTTTCAAATCAACCTTTCTCAACAAGCGAGATCAAAAAGTTATTGGCCGCTGTTAAAACCCGCTGTATTGCTTTTGAAAAGGTAATCGGAGCCAATAGATTTACGATCCGAACCCCACACTTGTCGTCTCCTGACATAACCAAAACATTCTAGACTACAATACCTATATTTCATTTTGCACTGATAATTGCATCATTGTAACAGGAATACACTAACAAACGAAGTGTTTATCTGTGTCTAACAGTCTGAAACATATGGCTAGAGATCTTCCAGACAACAGCTTGTGCATAGAAGCTTCGTTGATTGGGGCATCTCCCGCGTAAAATATATCTTCAGCTATCTCCTTTGTCAACTGCATCTCTTCGCGACCAACCATGACGATGTCTAAGGAGAGAAATATAAAAAACATTGAAAATAGAAGACTTAAAAAGAATACAAGAGAAATCAATTGAAGGGGTTCGCAAAGCTCTAGTTACCATAAGGTTGTGGATTATGGGCAGATGTCATAATAATTTTAAATAATCTCTAAATTTTATTATGGGGTAATCTGGGATCAATATGAAAAGAAATTTACTTCCGCAAAGGCAATAATCGGATGTATGACCACACCTGTATTATCTCGAGATCCTCGCCAAGCACGTTAAGTTGTTTATCACGACTGCATGGATAGATAATAATCAATTCATTTACATCACAAAATGAACACATACATATGCATAATGTCACAAAACAAAAAATACGCATTAATGTTTGCGCCGCCGCAGCGACACAAAAGTCAGTCAGGTCAGTGATTGCTTTGCTCAGAAAGCAAAGCACTGACTTTCAGCCTATGAAGCCCTGAGAACTAGCTAGGTCTCACGTAATAGCTATATCTACAGTCGCTAGCATCCAACAATTTATACTAGGCCTTCATGGTGAGTTATAACTTGTTACCGCGATTCTATACGTTATACTTCACGATAATGAAATGTATAGTTAGATTTAACTGTTTAAATCCCAGCGCTCGTACAACTCTGGATGAGCATGGATAGAATGGGGCCAGAATAGCACGAAATTGAGATGCCTAAGATGTGGAATCATCAGCTCAGCACGGTGCCGCTTGCGTGCTGCCTGCCTCGCCGCCCGTCGATTTTCTAACGCAATGGTCTCCGATTTCTTCTCAGCAGCTCTTTCCGTCATCCACTCCTAAAAAATAATAAGGAACTAAAACCGTCCTCAATCAAAACTTCACTGATTATAAAATTGATTGTAAATTAAAATAGAAAGTCCAAATAACTGTAATAAATGAAAACTCCTTTAGCTTACTCTCACTTCGACATATATGTTGATAATCCAAAGTCAGTTTTGTCTGAATTTAAATAATGTATAATGATATAATTGAGATTTATCTCATACGATTATATTTTTAATAAATAAAATTACATAACATCATTCTTCAATGATTTCTTAAAAAATATTATTTTTTTCGTGAAAAGAAAATTAAGTGGATCACTTTGCAACAGAGAGTTAGATGGTATGGTTAGGTTTTTGTTTAAGGTATCCAAAGGGTTAAAAGGGAACCCTGTTAATAAGATTCCTCTGTCAATCAGTCTGTCTGTCACCAGGCTGTAATTCATGATAAACAGTTGAAGTTTTTCCAGATGATGGACTTCAGGTGCTGCTATAATAACAAATTCCAAAAAACAGAATGAAATAAATATTTGAGGGGACTCCTATACAACAAACGTGTTTTTTTTTGCTCGTGCACGAGTGACTCGCTCTTTATCATGTATTTCATTGAATGACCTTTCGTTTCGTTTTCTGCTTGTCTATCACAGACGTAAGTACAGTACGTCAAATTAGGTAATAAAAATTTAAAAATCTCGAAACAATTTTAAGCTTTAATCTGTTGATGATTAAGTTCAAAGTCAATAATGACAACCTTATATGGTTGCATAGGTACCTATTCATAAGTCTAAAAATCGTTATAACCAAAACTAAAATGTTTACAAATCTTCAACTATAAATTCTCAGTAAACTATGGTATAAAAACTATTTAGCTCACTTGTAGTTTTTTAAGTCTTGCAGCTATTCTGAAGCTTGCGGTTTAAGAATCAATTTCTATACGCTACACATTGATAATGATCTACAATTTAAAAAATAATGTCCGTATGGATTGAAGAACCATTTCAGACTTTAAAAAAAAATTCACCCCTTTATTTAGTAGAGAATTAAATATTTTTCTAGGCTAAATTCTGAAATATGTAGTATAATATACGCAAAGTTATATCAATGTAAAAGCGGCTCCTCAATAAAAACATATGAATTGAGGAGTCATATGGAACATGGAATGTATTGATGAAAATATTGAATCATTCGTAGCAATTGTGTATAGCACCTACTAAATATCAGAGCCCAATACGGTTGATATTAAAGAATATACAATTCTGTTAATATGACTCTTCGATATATATATATATATTAAATATAATACTATATAAATTATATTAAAGATAGAATACTTTCAATATCATTGTATACGATACCGAAACACTATTGTTAACCTTACGATTGCAAGAAATTGACCTACATCAATGTGATATTGGAATGCAACGATGCAGTAAAAACTTATCTTGTTGTTAGCCTCTCTTATTCCGCTATATCACTAGCTAATCAAATAAACTTATAGCAGAATATAATAGCGAATAACTGATATATATTAAGGTGCTATTCTTTTAAATATATAGTTGAATGCAGTAATGTCACAGCATAAGAGGTTCAGTAGAATAAGTCTACTTGCAACTGTTACAAAAATGTTTCATTTCGACATCCTCCGTAGCTGAGTGATTCTCACGCTGGAGCCGTCCTCATACCTAACTTTAATTACTCGGTGATTTCACCTTCTTTGCAATGCTTCAAAAATAAGTTATCAAATGAATATTATTCTAATTGCATTAGAAATTAGCAGGATCTAAAAAAAAACTTGTTGCTAATATTTATACCTAAATTGCTCAGTTTTCAAGAGGAGTAGCTAAGGACTCATATTATGCAGTAGCAGAAACAATGAAGGTATCACAGCACCCAGACCCAAGATAATAAAGAAAAAACACATTTTCTACATTGACAAAACCAGACCCAAAAAATAAAACCCGTCACCTCAGAGGCTTCACATCTCCAAACCGGCGTGCGAACAACTCGGCAACATTTAGAATATTCTCATCCCATCAAAAACATTACTATGTAAAATGTTGCCAAGACCATATGGCTCACACTATCAAAAAGTTATGAGATTCCGTGTAGAGCCAAACTTCTAATTCTACACTCCATAAGTTAACAAAACCTTAACTTTACACCTTAGTCAAAATATGTAACTTGGCCGTTACATAATTACAAAAACCACTAATGTACATATAACAATAGGAAACACTCCAATGTGACAATAGCAAAACGGCCAAGCCACATATTTTGACTAAGGTGCAAAATTTATTTTTTATATGTCTGAGAATGGAAGAGGCAAAAATAACTTCCGGTAGTTATGAGAGTACAATTTACTTTTACGTTATTATTCAACATCATTATATCAGAGAGTGCGAGTATAAGTACCCGTACTAAAATCGAAAATATATGAGCTATGTGACTGAACCATTGTACTTTTAATGAGTTCGTTACTGAGATTGCATCCCGAAAACTTGATGTATCTAATATAATCCAAACATAAGTTATGAAGGTAAAAAATCCGACGAAGCGTTTCGAGGAAAAGTAGGTAAGTTTACCCTTACGTTTTTTGTTTTGTTTGTCTCGGCGGCCCACAACCGTGACTCTAGACAAATTCTCCAAAGCCACAGACTTTTTGTTAAGGGTACTGACAAACGCATGATACTTTAGTTAGTTTTTAATTAAATTCCACTAATTATTATTGAAAATTCTTTTATGGTGATATATTTAAATTTGTGATTTTTGCCAAAAAAATTCTTGCTATTATTTATTGTATGTATATATAACCTACCTACAAAGAGCTGGTTAATTAACTACAGTTCTAGTTATGGTTATTATTAGTTTATTGACTATTACCACTGTTATACGCATTCACTTTATTTATTTTCAGTTCTAAAAAAATATAGAATATATTTCATCAAAAAAATTAAGTAAAGCTACGGTACTAATTGAGATCCCTGTGGTAATCAAATGTTTACCATTTCATAAGGAGTGGGTTGATCCAAGTCATATGTAGGTCTATCAATTTCAATGCCATCCTGTTCCATTTTGTAGTATTGCAGTTCTACCTTAGCCACCTCCGCCATCTTGATGGCGTCTACACCACGCAACACAGTTGTCACCTTCTCCTTCTATGAATGTAAACAGGGGGGTTAATTGGCTATTTTTTAAATCTGTCACAATCATTTTCAATTTGACGTTTGAAAGATATTCACGAACTTCACGCTACTAGTATTTGACATGTGATAGCAATTGCTATTTTGAAAGACTTCATTCAATATGAACGATATCGTTGATTTAACTATTGACCTTTAGGGAAACGTTTAAGGAAAGAGTTTTTTTTTTAATAATAATAACGTTAAAGGAAAAACTTATATGCTAACTATCTTTTAACGGGTTTAGGTAAAATTTGATTATTTTGCTTCATCATTCAAATCTTCATTCGTTTCAAAAGCGATTGCGAATTTAAAAGGAATTGCGATACTTTTTTAAATTAGACTATCAATTAGTTCTCAGGTTTTTGTTAAGATTAGGCATAAATAGTGTCCTTATTATCGCACTTCACTTGGCGACAAAATTATTACTACCTACCTATGTGTATAAAAAAATCTATTATATATAATTATTTTAAGTGTATTTTATTTAAATGTAGTCTTACGCCGTGCATTTTGAGGAGTAAAAGGAGAAATTTAAATATTTTTTTCGATAAGTTCCTATTATATAGCCATCAATTAAATTTAAACATCTTAATTTATTAATACAGTGTATTTCACGAACTACTGTTATATCTTACAGGATCCGCGTAAGCAATAGCCTATAAAAGGGACTATCACTAGTAATGACATACTCTGATAAAATAACAATTATCTTCTTATACAACTTATGAAACTCAACTCAGTTACAATGAAATAAATCCTATATTCAATCGAATGTAACATACACGAAACACTATTGGGGGAATACCCGATACTGGTATTTTAGTGTTACTTACAGAATCCGTTTGTATCGAGAGAATTTATATAATTTAAATTAAAAAAAACTTATTAAATCAAATTGTTACAAGCACTTATGAAAGTCAGAAACTATATCATCAGCTCATAGCTTTACGACGGACGGGACACATTATGCCAAGAAGAACTTAGCATGAAAAGCAAGAACCTCATAAAGAAATCCAAGTCTAAAGCATCAATTTTAGTGGAAACTCACTTTGGTAACCAAAACAATTATTTCGTTACATATGTACGTCTATTAATGAAGCAACTCACCAAAATAAACAAGTAAACCGGCTCACTTTGATAGCGGAACCGCTGCAGTACATCTATTTCATCAGCTGGAATCTGCAAATGGAAATTAATCTATCAGAAATAATTCACGATCAAAATACTATAAAAATTCTCCAGCCAATGCTTGTCAAGGCTTAGGTTATATGTTAGTAGCCTGAAAGGAGTGCGACCCATGATATTTGTAATTCGTAAAAATAACAAAAGGGACCATAGCCAACACGAAGCAGTCGCTATCTTTCTCAATTTTTTTGCCTTTACGCCAACTCATAATAATAAACTATTTTGAAATTCCTTTTCGCGTATACGCCACACATGGTTCCTTATACATATTTGTATGTCAACTGCATGTGTCTCATTGACTGGTCCATTAATTTGTCAAGTTTACATCTACGAGTAACCTACCCGTGTACTTAACGTATTTTCCACAGCACGGAATATAGGAGTGCCGTGTAAATGTGCTTTACACCCATTTTCACCAACCTAAAACAAGGCTTAGCTTAACTAACGCCTTATATAACGAATCGCCTAAGCAGATTAGTCGAAATCCAAATAAATATTTTTTCTTTTATCCCTTGACATATGAATGACCTGTCAAATACGCAAATGCCTAGCGCATGGAGCCGCATATCGAATATCACAACTTGCCTAATTTGGTGAAATGCATTTATTCCTTAGGCGACCGCTAAACCTTTAGGCGTCAGATTTGAGCGACTCCTTAGTAAACGGACATTAGTCTTGGCGATAGTTACACTCACAATTATGAAGCAAAATCGCTCGACACACGGTTGGGTTCACAAACTTCTATTAAGGTTTAATGACGCCTTTATACTCTAATGAATGGCAAAATTATATGAGTAATGTCGCTTTAAACTAATGAAAATTTTAATAGACTTTTGCACAACTGGCTGTATGTCGCATTAAACTTATGACAATTTTAATGGAAGTTTGTGCTACTAGCTGACTGTGTCATTGACATACCTGACAGATTTTATATTGACAAATAAAATTAATTTATTGTTACTACTATTACGGTATTATAAGACACGAGTAGTTTTCCCGCGACTTGGCCCGTATTAATTTTAGCCTTTATCCTATATATACTTATATGAGTTATTAATGTTAATATAGAAGAAATGTTTAGTTTTTTTGCATACGATCTTCTTATCAGCCAAAAGATCTATAAATAGAAGTTGTAATTTAAAAAATTAAATAAAGATATCGTTTATTGAAAATATGTTCCGTTTTTTATTTTATTTTTTAAAGTATATGCTACCATTTTTTAAATTTCTTTATATATATGCTAATGGTTTTTATTAAATACCAATAAAATCGACAAACCTTAAGCAAAATCATTTTTCCATCGCTCCAGTCCAGTTTGATGGTGGTAAATAAGCGGTCCAGCGCTGTACATGAGCCGAAACAATTGCTGTATACCTCTGCACCTGTAAACTCGACAAATAATAGACGGTAATGCCCCTACTGCTGAGGTAGAGCGTTCCCTGTGGAATCGAAGCTAATCGAACGAATGAATGGAGAATGAGCCACCCACCACGTGAGTCCAATGCGGGCGGACTGTCAACGGCTGCACAAATAGCCACGGCCTACGAGATAATATTGGTCATCCGTCTTATGACCAGACCTTTTTTGAATGAACAGGAAATGTAACCTTGAGCAAAACTAATTTCTTATCTACCTTCCTAACCTTTTTAGGAGCGACATACATACATACATACATACGACATTGCGGCCGCTGGATGCAGCTGGCGCAATGTCGTCCGTCGTGGCGTTCAAAGGGGGAGGCCTATATTCAGCAGTGGACGTCTTCCGGCTGATGATGATGATGATGATGATGATGATAGCCAAAAACAAACAATAAACTCATAACAGCCTTTTTTGCCTCGGAGGTTAAAAAAAAAGAATTAACAGTGACAGATTCTCGAGTGATTCTCAAAGGCAACGTTCCTTATAAAAATGTCAGGTGTCTCGCAACATTACAATTATCCCAGCTCGGCTATTTTAATCATTAACGAATAGTTATGACTTACATATCAGCTGATCTGAATTTTCCTTAATAATATTTTCAGATTCCTTTTCATCGGTTATATCGATAAATATCTCTATTTTTCTCCGTGCCGCCATTATTTTTTCATTACATCGAAAATCAGTTTGGCCACGGCAATTTAATTAGTATATTAGATTAATTTTGCATTCACAATGCCATAATGAAAAATATACTTTACACAAAATGCTTAAAAAACCACTCGGTCCCTGGCACCCTGAGGTGGGAATCGAACCCACGACCTTTCGCTATCCGGGTGACTGCTCTAACCACTGAGCTACCCAGGACCTAACAGGAATTACGAATCTTTCAAGCACTTGTTACTTTTCGCTACTACAGAGCGTATTCTCATCAATGTTCAGGCATTGGGCTATTAAAAACAACACTTTACTATTGTAGATAGGACTTGATGGCACAACCGTTCGGCCTACCAAGCGCATGTTAAGCAACTTTTACAACGACCAGTCCTGGGATGGGTGACCAAAAATTAACATCTCAAGCTTCTCCGTAGTTCGGTAGGCATGTTAAGTCGTTGGCGCTGGCTTACCCATTAATCCACACTATTTGTTACCATCCACAAGGAATATAAGAAATCTTTGAGGTCCCATTTTCGATTACCAGTTGGATCAACTTTTTTTCTATATTGTATCGGGTCTGGGTATTGTGGCTTCTGCGTTGTATCAGATATTCAGAAAATATGTAACTTTATCTAACAATAACCCCATTAAAATAAGTCACAAGAATAACTTCTGTGACAACATTTAGAAAAAATGTGCTTCGTAATACAAATACCAATGTAGATATTATTTTATTCCAATACGATCGAAGTCCACTAACAATAGTACGAGTAAACAAATTCGAGGGAATCCCCTTTTATTGGCGTGTTAACGTTTATCACAGTTTATCATGCTACCAGAATATTACATCGACGGAAATATTAATTTGCTGACTCTAAATATGGAACTTAACGATTTTTCTTTCACAATTTATACTAAAATATATAACTATTCAATTTTTTTTTTCATTCATATCAATATGCTATTTTCATTAACATATTTTATTTATTAAAAATCAAATTTACTTCTAAATAATTAAATAACAAAAGTAATCTTGTTAAAACTATATACTATTTAAGAGTGCGTTTGATAATATTACTTAGAATACAACAGAATTAACACCATAATCCAAAAATCGGTCTAGTGCGAGTAGCACACGCGCTCGTAGAACTCCGTAACATCATCTATAAAATCAGCAAAAAATAAGTGACTATTGTATGGGAACGCCCTTAATATTTATTTTATTCTGATTTGAGTATTTGTTAATAAAGCAGCAACAGAAAAATATCATCTGTGAAAATTTCAACTATCTAACTATCACGATTCATTAAAAACATCTTGCCGCCTGACAACTCTAGCTGCAACTTTAGCCATAGGATTAATCGTTTCGTTTCATTTTACTACTTTGTCACCAATGATATTCATTGTTTGGCACGTATTTTAATACCAACTAAAGAATAATGAATATGAATTTATATTAGTTTTTCATAGTCATTTATCCCAAATTCATCTACCAAATACATGTCAAAGTATTTATGTAGTAAAATAAAACGAAATTTCGTCATTGACCTTTGGGACCTAGGGTGGCCAAGCTTGCAAATCTGACTCTTTGTATTTTATAAGAGATTTTATGAAAATTGTCATTTTGTATTTTATATGAGAATTTTTTAGACATTTTTTATTGGTAAAAAATATTCAAAATAAGACTTATACGCTGGAGAATATAAAAAATGTGTTGAGTAAGCCATGTAAGTACATATTTCTTTTAAATGAGTAAAAAAAATTAATAAATCAATAAAATAACTTTTTTTAAAACTGAGAGTGCTTCTGCAAACAACTCTAATAAAAATTCAAATAACGCCATCTGTCACAGTTGGTTGTATTAAACACCACAGCCCTTTTTCAATATAACCTGTTACATGTTATTTTAATCAATATCAAAGAAAAGTATTGTATTATTTTGCGTTGCTCTATCCAAATATAGTAACAATTCAACATTATAATGTAATAGGTCAGTAATATTTAAATTACAACGACAAAGGAAAATGTATACCAGTATATTCACTCCAAAGTTTTACCAATCTTTGTTAGATGGCAGTGTTTAGTAAAATTATAATTATTCACTTTAAGTCCCTGTGGAATAATTATTTTTACCAGCAAAGTGATTTATTCTTCTATAATATTTTCAAATGAACAGAAACCGTAATTTAATACTGCATACTGTGTTTAAAACTGACAATATTATGTATTCGTATAAATTGAATTCGATTAATACTCGATTATATTTAGTAGTAAAACATTTTTCACATGGCAAGTTTAACGTCGCCATATTGAAAATTTTAGTGAATCGGTAAAATATCGTCGGCAATGGAGTCTAATTTTCGCGTATCAAATTTTGCTATTTTTGTTGGAGATTTACCAAAATTATGCAATTTGTTCATCGTTTCTCAGTTCGGCTACGATCACTGCAGAAAAGCTTCGGTCGTTTGACAGAATTCGCCTGAGTGAATTGTTTGTAAAGTCTCCGTCGATCCTGGAGACATCTTGTGATCGAACACCATTATTGCGCCCGGTTACTTGGCCGTCTGTATTTGTCTTCACGTGAAACGGTAACAAAATTAGATTGGTGCTATTTAGAGTCCTCAATCATGGAAGTGTCTTGGGGTAAGTGTCTGTTACTGCGTACAATCTATTGATTTTTCTTTTGGTGTCATTGTGATGTCATTACGTGGTATTTTCCAGACGCAGATAATTTTGAGCCAAAACTTCCGACCACGTTGACTTCTTCAAATAAATGGGAAGGCGAAGACGAGGAAGAGACAGTCAAGGTGACTAGATGTTATTGCCAATTATTTTTATTTCTATCGTTTTGTGTTGTTTGTGGTATTACCTTGAATTATTCGTCTTGTGAAGCAGTTAACCTCCAAATTTTTGCATACGTGTTGATGTTTGCTTCTATTTTCAGGATAGCTGGGAAGATGAAGAAGAAGAAAAAAAGGATGAAGAGAAAAAAGAACAAGTGGTAGTTGCTCCAGCAAAGCCTAAGAAGAAAATTCAAGACAAAATAGCTGAAAAAGAGGTATGCATTTCAACACATATGTTACTATAATTATGTAGGTATTATATTATTGAAAGTTATTGGAAGAAAGTATAAGGCTTTTTATTGAGATTATGTAGATACAACATGCCCTATTTTAGATAGAGGTAGGAAAACCTGATAAAATGTAGTCAGGAAATTTTCTGTAATAACTAAAAAAAACTTTAAAATTGTAAATTCCCATTATTTTATGGGTTATAAAATATAGATTGAATACAACCTTTTTTAATTCATCAAATTACTTATTTATGTTATGTGCCTGTGTTAAGGTTGTCAACTTACATACTTGTACCAAATTTCAATTCAATGGTCGCAATCACCATAAAATTAGGAACAACCAGCTTAGATCAATGAAGACTTAAAAAGCCAATAATATAAAAATTAATTCATGTCTGTGTAAACTCTACCTTACCAAAGAATTTATTTCTAAATGAATGTTTTTTAATGATGCAGTGATTTTAATGAATGAAATAAATAATATTTTCTTTGTATTAAAATCAGCATCAGGTTGTCTAAAACCATTTGATTTTTAACCTTAATGAATTAATAGTAGAATTTAAACTCAGATTGTCTGGAATTTCACATTTTGTAGTTATAGGTAATTTGCAAACCAGATAATAGCAATTTGATCAACTGAGTGTGGTATATTTCAGAGGCTTGAGCGTGAGAAGGCTGAACGTCTCGCCAGTGAAAAGCCCGAGGAGTTGACTCCTGAACAAAAGCTTGCTGAAAAACTCCGAGCGCAGAAACTGCAGGAAGAATCTGATCTGCGGCTTGCTATGGAAACATTTGGTGAGAATATTTTAGAGTTAATTATTTCAAACATTTCACTACTCTCTCATTTTCTCTCTTTCATGAACTGACTAGCACCTACAATACTAGCAGCAACCATTTGTCATAGTCAAATTAATATGGCTATGTAATGCCAAGGGTGCACCTGTATTGTTCATCACGAAGCTTCATATCATGCGCAGATGTGACCAACCAAAGTTTCTCGCAACGAATATTCGAGAAATACCTAAATTTGTGTGAACTGTCCTCGAGGTGGCAGCTTGCCTGTGTACACTAATGGAGTAGTGAGATAAATGAAAGGGCAGCCATGTCATAATTACTCATTTCCATTGGTATACATAGGTAATTGGTAATCTACTATGTGACTATACGTACACCACTTTCTTTGTTATATTATAATTTTATACAATATTTAAATTATATAACATTGTTTATACAGGTGTATCAGATGGTGGTGGTAAGCTGGACAGTTTCCATCCCACAACCAAGGCAGAATTTACAGAGTTCGCAGAGTTGCTCACAAAGAAGATCACTCTGTACAAAACCAAGGAGGAATTCCCTGGCTTTGCTGATGAACTCATTAGGAATATTATTGTTCAAAGTAAGTATTGAATCTTGAAAACCACTTGTATCTGTTGTCATTATTCTGAGCTAAATATACTATATAAATAAAAATGAAGCTTTAAGTTAGTTAAAATAGTAAGAAGTTATATTTAATTATGCTTATTAATGAAATTTATGCCTATGACTCAATTGCCTAGGATATATTTTTGTTTTGTTAACTTTTTCTCTGAGATAAATATTGATATTCGTCTTGGCACTATATGAAAATTTTTAACAATAATTATAACAGGTGGTCTCCTAATTCCTGTATTTCTAACCATAAAGTTTGAAATGTTTTATCCTCAAGTTCTATATATTTTTATAATTATTTGACATTCAATAAACAAAAGTATTAAACATATGATGGCTTTTATAATATTCTGTTATTTATTTTTCGCATTTTTACATAAAGTCGCTCGATGACGCAGTGGTTAGTCTGTTTGCTCTGTGATGCGGATGTTAAGCAAATTATACAAGAGCCTGTCACAAGCTGGATGACCAAATATCCCATCCATAGACCCGTGCCAAATCAGTTTAGTTGAGTTTGTATAATCATATATCTTATTTTAATTTGTAGTGCATTCTGGTGACATAAAAAGGATAAAGATGTCCGTAGACAACATATACATCGAAAAGCAGAAAGCAGAGAAGAATGATAAGGCCAAGAAACCCACAAAAGGCAAGGGCAAAGCCAAGTTAAAAGTAGAAGGTGACAATGTGAGTAATTTTTATTTTCTATTTATGATATTTTAGGATGAGATTATGTTTTGGTTATCCAAATCAATTATCCAATAATTATGGACGCTTTTATATTCTATTAGCAGTGAAAGTTGACATTGTTGGACTAAAAAAGATGACAGAAAATTGATTTAATATAGATTGTCATTACCTTTGAAAACACATGTGTAATTTTCTATCTGTGGTGTAATAAAACCCAGCAGTCTAGACAATATTCGATTTTCTTCACTATCATTTCATTGATAATATTTATCGCATTGGGAAAACAACTTATAAGTATATGAATTTGCCCTAAAATATCCTGCGTGGCCTCCTACGCCGCTCGCCGTCTCTTGAGACTAACTCTGGGTGATTGTGATACTTTTGAAACAGCATTATTATTACTAATGTTAGCTTTCCACTTCGATCGCGATTATCAGCGTAGGTTGAGTAAATGCTAGCATGTCTGTCTGTATGTTTGTTATATCGACATTATTTCCCTTAACTTAAAAAATATCAATAACCTTAAATTTTTAGAACTAATATGACTTTGACACATGAATTTTTATAATGTCTTTGCTAATAGGTCTTTGTGCACACAGAAACCGAATCCTAACTTACACTCATTCACTTAAAATAACTTAAAATAAGTTCTTTTAATAGATGGGGTAGGATGTATATTCAGAGTCAAATATAGAAATTAATGACCTTCAACGAACGCGTATAAGTTTTAAATGTCATTAAACTACCCACTGTTATTGACAAATTTATTTTATTTCATAGGCTCACCTCAATCAGTACGACACTTACGGCAACTTTGACGACGATTTCGATGACTTCATGTAGAAGCACCTGTAAATAAATATACCGGTGGCTGGCGTCCTTTCGTTCCGAATATTAACGCCCTTTTTATATAAATCAAAAATTTTATATGATATTAAACACTTGCTAAAATAAACACTGAATTTTAACCTCTATTCTCTATTTGAATAGAGCTCTGAATCTGCATGGTCGAAATGTTGATGTGATAAAGATTTGATAGTTTCTGAGATTTGTATTTATCATTGTTATAAGTCATGCAGGATGTGAAATATATAGAAATGAAAAAAGGTATAACAGGGATCTTATTGCTTTATAAGTGGTAGAAACTAAAAATGAAATATTGGATACGGTTATGCAAACCTAGACTCTATTACAAATATTTTTGAACATTACTTTTCCATATTTTAGAACTCTTCTTTATCTTCCTGGCCTCTTCTTCTTCGAGATGACAGGTTCAACACAAAATCAGTCAAATTAAAATACTTATTTCTATACCTTCTCAAATTTCTGCCTTGAAAGTGATAGAAATCGATTTTGATCATAGTGTAATTTTGTTTTATTTTTTTAATTAAATAATTACAAAATTCAAGAAAAATATGTAGTTTCATATTGTTAACTTAATTGGAACTGTTTCTAACTTGTATAACAATGTCCAAAATATCATTATACTTATAATTATGTTTTATTAAGACTTCTACAGTGGTATTAATAAACGAGGTTTAGCGTCAGCGTAAATTTACTCCAACGCTAAACCTCGTTTATTAATAATACTTTTAGGGTTTTCTAAAATTAAGCTTCATAACACTAATATTTTACAAAACCCTAATATAAACCTTAATATATATATTTTTTTTATCGAAGCAAAGATAACACAATCCATAATTCCTCTAAACTTTCCTATAATTCATCAATTTTCCTATAATTGTTAACAAATTCTTAGTACTATTTATTTATTATTGTATTACAGATGTCACTTTAATAACCCCATAAGTCACTATAATGTAACAGAGTAGTACTTTTAAGAAATTATAATTACAACTAAGTTAAGTATGTATAGATAATTATGCAGTTAGTGTAGTGGGCAGGTCTTGATTTTTATCTTATTAGAAGGATGCACAAATCTTCAAATCTGTATGTTAATTTATCCGTTATTTTTATCTTTAAAAAATTCTCAATGCATAAAGGTGTATTTTTATTGTTTTTCTTTTTAAGTTTAATGAAATTATTCTAGATTGGCTAATATAAAAAGGGCGCTATTTATAATTTGTCGTTTTAAATTATTTAGTTAAGTTATTTTATAAATTACTTGATGTGCTCGTCTGTTTGTCAGTAATGTTAGGACGCCTGGCATCAAATCGAAGCCATGTATAGCTATATTATACATAATTATATTATATACATTGTAATATACAGTCGTTTCATTGAACGGTTATGGTCCGATGTTATGTTATATAGATAATAAATTTTTATTGTGATATTTGTGTTGTTTTTTATTTCGGAATTTTTTGATCCTTCGTCTAGCGGCTTGCGGTTGTCCAGTAAGCCACTTATGTTAATGTTTACGTAACAATCACACCTTAATCGAATCTCAACTATTGGCCTTGTGTCACTTATAGGTTTATGGTTTTAATACATTGTTTTTAAAGATATAATAAAAATCTTTAATCAGCTAAAGAAAAAGAAAACTGCTGATTTATAGGTTAATTACGTTGACGTATTTGAAGATCTGTAATTTATTTATTTACGACAACAGATTACAATCAATTTCATTACAAATAGTATTAACAAGTCGTTCGATTCTGATCATAACCCAACAGCATGTCTTTTATAATAACTAAACGTGTTGTTTTACAATTTAACTTTTCAATTTTCAAAAATTAAGTATATGGAATATAATTAAATAGTATTAAGAATTGTAATTACAATTTCAATAAAATAAATTAATGATCAAAAATCAAATTAAAATAAAAAATTATTACTCTAAAATTAATCAGACAAAGCGAATTAAATCATAAAACAAATTAATCATTACATTATGGAAAAAGTTTTCTAATTCTATTAATAAACAAGTTTCTGTTACAATTAAATATATAAATGTCAGCATTACATATGTTTAACGTATTCATTATACTGACGGCACATACGGACTATTGGATTAAAGAAAGAGGTGTTTTTGCGATATACGTCCAGCGTGAATATCCTCTGGTTACGAAAACGGTAGTTAATGTTGAACTGGATAAGCGAAAGAAGGTAGGGAGAGTCAATATAACCATGTAAAATCCTATGCAAGTGAACAAGATGACTTCGTTCACGAACTTTACACTTATATCTGAGCTACCTACGTTTAGTAAGATTTTTGAAAAAATCATGCTGGATCAAATACTTTCAATAATATTGTTTTACAAGGGGTCGCTCAACAACCCGAAGCCGGTGTCGAATTGGTACAAGAAATTTTTAATGCCTGGGAGGATTCACATGATGTGTTAGGTGTTTTTGGTGACCTATCTAGTGTAGTGCCTGATGAACGTTCAATTACACATTTCGCCAATTGTGCATTTAATTTAATTGTATTCGATTGTTTTGTCCTGTATTGGTGTACAATAAAGCATATTTCATTCATTCAATATTTTTCACAAGTCAAATTGAATCCCGCCCACGTTATAACACATGTTCTATAATCCAAACATTGCAAAACACCCGTTGCTCTAATGAGACATTCTTATTTCCAAATTGAGCAAGTGACATTGAAATGTTTTGCTAACACATTATTTTCACGTGTTTAATCTCAACTCAATATATATCAATATAGACCTACTCATATTTTGTGTCTGTAACTTAACACCTGCGTTGTATGAATGAGGAAGTATTTTAAAAAACACTAGTTCCCGAAATCAAACTAGATGTCGCTACGGTACTTTCTTGATTTCAACATTTCAACTCATCCGGTTTTCTTTCGTCTGTAAAAGTAAATTAATTTTCAAAACTCAATAAACAACTCTTATTCTATTTGTATTGATATCTTAGTTTAGTTAAAAGGAACAAAAATTACTATCTTTGGTCCATTCGTTTCCTGCAAAAATCAACTTTTATTATAGTATAGTCATCTAGTGAGGAGCTTTTAGTACTTTCTTCTTTTTCTAAAAATACTTACTCATTATATATTAATATTATATCTAATATTACTGTTACTTGCTTGCGCCCTACCAGTGTTCATATATGGAAATTGATCACCTTTATAAAACCACACGTATGCAATAAAGTTGAATTGAATAGAATTAAATTAATACCTAAGTATTTATATCCTGTTTTCTTCCTAGAATAATAAATAACACACCTAGATAACAATTTACATAAGCAAAATTTTCACACTAACATCCGTGCATTAAAATTCAAAGATTTTCTTGCGTTGTTTTTTTATCTACTTATTATACTACTATAAAATGTAATTTGCTGTGCCCGACGGGGTCCATAATGATACTTTTGTTTTTATAAACATCTTAATACTAAATTGTGGAATGCAATAAAAAAAATAAAGGTATGATGATTTCTCAATAAAAAAGTTCAATACATAATGACAGTGGATTTTAAGCATTTTTTCTAAGAATATTTTCTAGCATTGTGAATGCAAATTGATCAAATATGATAAATAAGTGTTAGTAAAATTAGTAGGTACATAATAAGTATATTTTTCTCACGGTAGCCTGAAAATTGCGTTTTTTTTGTGACTTTATTATACCTAACTTTAAACTTGGCAAATAAAATGACGGTGAGGTCGAAGATCATACCAATTCGAAACGTGTTAAAGAGAGATTTAAAATGTAATCATGAATGATTAGCGATTGCAGTTAGTACATTCAACTTAATTGGATGTGTATAGTTATGCAAACTTGTTCAAATCATACCTTGTAGAAAAATATTCAAGTAGGTCATGGAGTTTTGACTTTTAGTTAAGAGATGCCGCTAATATTCTTTATAGGATTTCTTGTCTACAAAATCACAAATCCAATTGATTTTTTATTATTGAAGGTATAGGGTAAATTATGTGCTAAGATTGCAGGAGGTGCACACTTGTCACATATTTAGAAAACTCCCAGAGAGGATTTTTGATAATTATTTTTTTATATGAAAGCCACCAGCCATCAGGTACACATACCCCGATGGTAATTTAGTATTAGATTAATGCAATATTGATAAAATATACTAATTAAAAAAAAATTGTGTTAAGTTTTTCAATGGTGTGTTTTTTTTTTACCAGTCTTACCTTATATATTTTGTGTTTATAATGAGTTGGTGTGTTAAGACCTCGCAGCTATGTATGATATGATGTTCTAATTATTTAGTTCATTTTAGCTTCCTAAATAAATATACAATAATAAATGTACCTTAGGCTATGGAGCTCCAATTCTCCACATTCAGATGGTTAATCAGTACCTTGGGTACATTTATAGTTTGTATAGCTTTTTAATATAGATCTTAAAAATGTAAGCTATATTTTATTAAAGATCCGAAAAATCCTGAGATTTGCAAAATCCGACTACAGTCCTGAAAAATTCTGAGATAGTGTAATCCTACCTGAAACACAAAAAGGCTCGTGTGCCATTTCAGGGTACGTGTTGTAAGCGTTTCTCATTAAAGATTTATCAGCATAGCATTGTACGTGTCCATTAATGATGTGACTTTAAAAAACAATAAGAAGACACTTGATACAGGAAACTATTGCTTGGCATAACAGTGGTCGTTGTCGTTACGCAATCGTCGCGGAATCGTCTCGCGTCCGTCACTATTGTTGCCACCATCCGGTGTTCCGGTAAACCTTCGATTGAGTTGTATAACTGGACTAGGTGGCACAGATTTTGGAACCGGTCTATGTTCATGTATCGGCAGCGGACATCAATTAGCGTCTGCGGTTAGAATTCGCGACGATCGCAATCTTTTTAAACGACTCCAAAAAGAGGTTCTCAGTTCGACGCTATTTTTTTTTGTTTTGAATTTCATTTTTTGTGTTTGGAAATAGAACTTCGATTTTAATTATTTTTTTTTATTGGAAAATTGATATCAGAAAATTGATGAAAAACATAAGACAGTGTCAAAATAAACCCTGAATCTGAAGCTGGGCTTGGATAAACCAATCCTAATTGGTCTGTGGACGATTCAAAGCCAAAACATGGTGTACGGAAAAGCCGTCTTGCAGTGGCTCTACCGCGTAACATGCCATGATTGACCAGTCAAGCTGATAAGCTAACTGTCATTGTCATTGGATTGATCTGTGTAATCCTAGACCAATCCTTATTGGTGAAATTCATAAATAAAAGGGCGCAATATCAAGTTTCTTCCTTAATTGGAATAAATCGTAGA